TTGGCTTGACCGCAGGCTTCTCTGTGAGTAAGAGGAGCAGCTAGTTCTCCATGTAAGCAATCCTGTTCAGCTGTTCGTCCAGACGCTCGGCACGCAAACGGCACGTGTTCTCGACCTTCCCGATGCGCTGCTCCACTTGCTGGGCGAGGCTGCCGCACGAGGTGTGCACTGTGGACGCGGGGCTGGCGACGCTCTCCTGCATGCGGGCGACTGCGGCCAGCAACTCGGACATGGTGCCATCCACGTACGCGTTGACGTCGAGGTGCTCGCGACTTGCACTGTCAGGAAGACCAGCACGAGCAAGCCGCCCGGGGGCGCCAGCACCCTCGGCAGGAGACACGGGGCCCTCGTCCTCGTCTGCCTCGCCGTTCCTGTTGGCGCGCGCTGCACGGGCACGCTCTCGGGAACGGGTACTGTCACGCACTTCCCTTTTGGCCAACATCCTCCTGGGACGGGAGACGAGGGCGCAGCCTCGAGAGCCTCATACATGCGACGGCGCTCCTCTGCCTCTGACATGAGAGCCATGTCTGAAAAGAAAAGGGGGCACAACACACTGGACTTGGGCCGATACGAGGCTCATGGCGCTCCCGTGAGGATCGTGGTGAAGAAAAAGGGCGGCTCAGGGGCCTCAAAGTCCTACACCACCTCGAGCTATCGCTTCCTTGAGCCAGAACAGCTTGAGCCAAAATTGCTACGACCCTCCCTCCTCCTCCTCCTCCTCCTCCTCCTCCTCCTCCTTGTCCTGCTCCTCCTCCTCCTCCTCATTTTCCGCCTCCTCCTCCTCCTCCTCCTCCTCTTCCTCCTCCCCTTCCCCTCTCCGAGGACGGACCGAAGTAAAGAAGACGGCCCTGCTGCGACTGTGGCGTGCGCGGCGGCCCTCGCCGGGCCTCGCGGCGAACGGGCCGCTAATTCTGTCGGGAGGCAGGAGTGGGCGAGATTCGAAGCGCAGAAAACAACTACATTGGCGATTTCGGAAACCCTGAACCCAAACACGTTTTCATCTCTTGGGGAGACATGCTTTACTTCCGCCGCCTTCCGCCAAGCTTCCGCCGGCTTCCGCTGGCGGAGGCGGCCCTGTTTTACTTCCGCCGACCTTCCGCCGCCTTCCGCCGCGGAAGAGATGACAACTCCTTCGATCCTCGAAGGCAAGGCCCTTTTCTGGAACGCTCCACATAGACAGAGGAGGAAAAGAAACCATAGCGATGTCGCTATTCACCCTTCCCTGGTCGCCATGGCGAGACTCGCCTCGGAAGCCTTGTCAGAGCGCCCACAGAGGGAAGTCGGGGGAGCAGCGGTGCTGGTATCCTTCCGCTCTTCCAGTGAACTGTCGGGAGGTCCGCGCAGATTTCTTGGATGGGAGACGGACCCCCCCTGGCGGCGCCTCTGGCGCGGCCCCTGGCGCGCTTCGTGCGCCATGGGAGAAGGGTCCAGCGCCGACCCAATAAATCCGCGCGGAGTTATGACAATTGGTCGGAGGAGAACGTGGCGAGAAGCGGTCAATTGATCGGGCAATTTCCTGTGCGTTGGTGTGCAATGAGGGCGTTTGCCCACTGCACTTGCTTCCTCCTCCTGCTTATGCCGTATCGGCGGCTCTTGCGCCGAAGTTCGCACAACGTGTCCTATTGAGCCCGCGGATGGTGCCAACGCGGCGCTGACAAAAGTGCGCAACGCGCGGATGCGAGATCGCGTGCGTATGTGCACGTGTTAGGTGGCGACATCCAGATCCCACCATCGATTCTCCTGAATCGATTGGAGCCGGGGGTCGGGTGCGGATTTTGCCACATGTTCGACGACTTCCGAGCCCTACCCCGCCGCCTCTCGAGTTGCCTGACTCGTTGATCGGCGAGTGTTGGGTTTGGATTTCGCCGCTGACGTGTGTCGACTTGCTTCAGCTGCACCTGCTGGAGGCGCGCGGAGGGTAAAATGTAAAGGCGCGCGCCCGCGTGACGCCTGCACGGGCGCGCGCGGGTGCGCGTGGTTGCAACGGCTTGATTCTTGTCGAGTCACCGGCCCTCGGATCTCTCGACCGCTTCCGCGGGGTAAGCCCATCATCATGACCAATTCAATTGAAGGCATGGGGGCCTGGAAACGGCCTCTGGACACCTAAAGTTGAGGAAAAATATCAGGCGACATGTCTTCGAGTTGCAGCCTCGAGGTGCGATGATTTGATGTGTCCCCATAAGAGGTCCAAGAAATCTCGGCCTTTTCGCCAGGCCCTGTCTTGCATCCCGAATTGTTGATTGACTGTCCTGGGGTTCGGCGACGGCCCCTGGACGGCGAAAACGGCCAACAGCATCGAGTCGTTCGCTTTACAGCGCGAGCAGGCCTGGGCATACAAAAGGGCCGTTGAAACAAGGAACGCTTAATAAGGAACGAAGCCCCATTTGGGCGCCAGCAGTGCCCGGGTGCACGAGGAGGGCTACACATTGTTCAGTTCTGATTAGTCGAAAGTTCTTTGATTTTTTTGGGGGGCAAGATCCTTTCATTGCTAATTGTTCTATCCTGGGCCTCTTCCTGGCCACTAGGGGGCCAGGAACAATTAGAAACGAGCACGATTAGAAATGAGCACGATTAGAAACGAACGACGTGTAGAGGAACAACCATGGAAGGACCTTTTCGGAACAGCGAGCCACTTCCGAGCCCAAGGCGGTCCTCAATTCCGCACCTCGGCCGTTGGTCTGGGTCCCCGCGACAGGAGAACCGACAGCGTGCACAGGCCTCGAACCCCCGAGCCTCGAGCCGGCAGAGCCCCCACAGCGCCCAAGAAGAGCCTCAGAGGCCTCGACGGGTGAAAAGCTTTTTCTTCTGTTTGAGGGACCAAAAAAACGACCCTGTCCTGGGTTACAAGTGCGTGGTCTGTAAACCTCCTGGGAACCCCCAAAGCCTAGAGCCGCCAGAACGCGGCACATCACGCAGGGCGGCACATCAAGCAGGGTTTACCCTGTCAGCCCACAGGAGTTTCAGCGCACAGCGCCTCGTAAACCAGGGCAGGGGCGTTTTTTTATGCCATTGATTTGCGTCACCAGCCCAAGAGCGACCGAAAACCTGGATCTTCTTGAGCCATACTCTTCTGGTTTGGAAGCAGTGGCGGCGGCGGCGATTGAGGTCATTGAGCCCACGATACTTTCCTGGAGGGTGGCGATTCGCGGCCTCGCTCGAGCACGTGCGGTGGCCACGTCATGTTTGGTGACATCCGTCGTCCCGAGGGCACAGTGGGGCAGTGCCCCGCCGCGCCGTGGTGCCATGCCGTCACGCAGTGCCGTGGTGCCGTGCCGTCACGCAGTGCCGTTGGCGCCGTGCCGTCACGAAGCGCCGTCGCGCCGTGCAGTTGTGTGCAGGTTAGTTGTGCGCTGGCCTTGCGGTCCGCCTGGTTGGGGCGGCTACAAATAGCAGCCAGGCGCCCTGTCCATGGCGGTTGCCGAGCTCCGCTTGGCAGCCGACGGGGTCGGTCCCCCGCCCGCCCGCCCTGGGGTGGGAATGTCGGGGTTGTGAGCTGGCTGGGCGGTGACTTCTGAAGGCTCTCGCCCGCGTAGCCACGACCCCGAGCCACGGGGGGCCAATCCTCCTGCTCTCCCCCTCCCCAAGACCTCTCCTGAGGTGCGTTCTGACCCAGATGTCGAGGCGAATCTAACCGTGGCGGCGAGGGAAAGGCATCGGCATCGGTATATTTCCGTTTCTGGTCATCTTCTCATTCCTCATACGGTCGGGAACTTTTGCTTAGCGTGTCGCCCGGGCGGCCCCGGCAACACGCTATGCTATGCCCTGGATAGCGTGTCGCTCCGCTCCGCGGAGCGGGAGGATCGGAAAAACTAGGAACGTTGACGGCCCGGGACTGTGAAATGGATAGCGCGTCGCGCGGAAGCGTGATGGGCCAGGCCGGGCTGGGAGACGCTATCCCAAAATTCTCGAACGTGTTTCCTCTTCCTGCCATCTCCTCCTTCCTCATTCTCCTCCTCCTTCTGGATGAAGAGGGAAGAGGGGGAAGACAACGTGAGGGACCCACGGGCCCGATACAGAATTTAATTTAAAGGATCTGCTGCCAGACCTCTTGGCCACGGACCGAAAGCCCGATCACAGACAAGGAACCCTGGGTCCGAGGCCATACTAGTGAGGACTGACCACTCAACCCTACCCTGGGTTACAAGTGCGTGGTCTGTAAGCCTCCTGGGAACCCCTAGAGCCTAGAGAGCCGCCAGGACGCCGCATATTGCCCTGTCAGCCCAAAAGCGCCTCGTAAACCAGGGTTGGGCCGTTTTTTTAAACCCTTGATACTAGGACAGTCGTGCCAGATCCATGTGAGAACAAATCTCACGCCAGAGTACATGCCAAATGCATGTGCGACACCGTCTGGCTGGAGAGGGAGCAGGGCGAAGAACAAATAGGACTCACAGCTCCAGCCTAAGAGGCGGCAGGCGGCAGGCGTAAGCAGCACTGGAAGCCCCCGCGCGCCCTTTGGCGGGCAGCGGTGTGCGCCGTCAAGAGTCAGCGCGAGCAGGCATCAGCGGAGGAGGAGGAGGACTGGTTGAGACAGCTCCGGCTCTCTTGCCCGGCCGAAATCCGCTCCGAATCCGTCCCGGAGCCTCCTGGGGCCCCTCCCGACGCGACGGCCCCTCCCGACGCGTCTTTTTTGAGGCGGAGCCAGCTGAGGCGACGAGTGAAGCCTTCAGAGGCCCAAGAGAACGACAGACGCAAGGGAGCGCCGTCGTTGTCTCGACTGACCCTCCTCCGAGAGGGGGATGGAAGAGCTGGATGTGGTGGGCTCGTTTTCTGGCGCGACCACCAGAAGTAGGAGGGGGAGGGGATCCTCCTCCTCCTCCTCCTCCTCCTCCTCCTCCTCCTCCTCCTCCTCCCCCTCCTTCTCGTCCTCCTCCTCCTCCTCCTCCACCTCATCCACCTCCTTTCCTCCCCCCCTCCAACTCATGGTGGTGGTGGTGGCCAACAAGCCCATCAGGGTGGATGGCGGAGGCACGATGCCCAGAGGCTCCTGGCGGCGCTCGCGCCTAGCCCCGCGTGCTGGGGGACATCGAGACCAGGGAGCCGGTCGGCGAGCCCGGGGGCGAGACGTCATCACCTGGCCGAGGTGCTGCTTTCTGCCCCTGTCGTCGTGCTCCTCCTTTTTTGACCGTCCTCGTCATCCTCCGCATCCTCGTCGTCTTCGGCGTCCTCGTCATCCTTGTCTTCCTCCTCCTCCTCCACCTCCTCCTCCTCCTCATGTTCGTCCTCCTCATCTTGGTCGTTAATATTCGTCCTCCTCGTGCTCGTGCTCCTGCTCCTGCTCCGGCCGACACAGTACTGGAAAACACAATCCAACATCGCAACCATGATACAAGCCAGTTGCCTTTACCCGACAGGAGCAGCGCCAATGCCGCAGCCAGACACGCGCCCCCACGCCACACGGGCCCCGGCCGCGGTGGGCGTGCAGCCCAGCGCCAACAGGTCAATGTCGGCAGCAGAAACGAGGACGACCCTCTCTAGCGCTGCTGGCCAGGTTGGCACCAGGCTGGGCGCCGCCCACTGGTCCCTGGACTTCCGCGGAACCCGCATTGAAGAAAGCAAGATATCGGAATGTCTGGGCCCTCCTGCCCTCGCCATCCACCTCCTGCTCCTCAGCCTCCGACTCCTCGTCCTTCCCCCCCAAGCGATTCCTCGCCGCTGTCATCCTGCACCCTGTCCTCCTCCTCCGCATCTTTTGGCGGCGCACACAAGGGGGTGGACGGAGGGGGGAGGGCTTCTTAGAAGCAGCGGCCGAATCTTCCTCAAGTCCTGAAGCTCGTCCTCGTCGCACTCCGCTCCCCCCATCTTCGTCATCCCCCATCCGCCACCCCGGCGAGCGGGGAGCCGTGTGGCGCCCGGGGCCACAGCCGACGGCGCCCCGAGACCTCGGAGGCATGCGGCGGGGCACCTGGCCGCAGCCCCTCGAGGCACCGCTCGCCCCCGAAGGGCCGGCGACGCACGGCAGGCCCTGGCCGGTGACGGCCGCACAGCGGGGAGCCAAGTGGCGCCCAGGGCGGCCGCCGGGGGGGGGCCTCGGGACCTTGGAGGTGCGCGGCGGGGCACCAAGGCTGGGTGCTCCCGGAGGGCCAGCAAGGCGCGCTCCGAGGTCGCCTCGCCAAAGTACCCCACCGCGCCTGGGCCACCTCACCCCGTGCCTGGGCACCGGGGTCGCCTCGCTTCGCGCACCTTGTGGACAGCCTCTCCTGATCATTCGCCCGCACCCGTGTCGCACTCGCCTGCACATGCGGCGGGCTCGTGCCGCGACGACTTCGGCGCTGGCTTCTGACACCGCGTGGACCAGTCCTGGGGCCCGCGAAGGACCACAGAGGCACGAAAACGGCCCGAAACCTCCAGCACACGTTGCTCTCAGGACGCAACCAGGGAGGTCAGCGGAAGAGGCGAAAGGCTCCTTCTTCGATGGCGATCGTCTGGCCCGCGGGTTCCCGCGGGGTAGACGCAGCAGCGGCCCGTGCCTCTCAGAGGAGCAGGCGCGCCTCCGCGGTGGCTCGAATTCCTTCCACTCCTCGATCAGTCTCGGCCTCAACCGCACCCGATGACGCGTCCGCGCCAATGATCCTCGCACTCCTCCCCACCTCCCGCCTCCTCCTGTACCGAGTTCCCAGTGCCCTTCCTCTACCTCATCCTCCCCTTCCCCCTCGCCCACCTCCACATGCCCATTGCCCTCCTCCCTCTCCTCATTGCTGTCCTCATTTCCTCCTCCTCCTCCTCCCTTTCCTCTTCCCCGCCTACAGAGGAGGGGCCCCGAGCTACCACCGCCACCGTGGCCAGGCGAGGGGGGCCACTTCCGCAAGCGGCTGGAGCCAAACACGGAGGCCACCCCACAGCTCAAGCTTGCCCCCAGTGGCGGAAGGGCGAAGGGCAAGCACAGGATACCGAACACCGAACACAGGGCAGCGGCAACTGAACCAGATCCTCTGCAAGGGCTCCCAACTTCGCGCTTCGCGCTGCGCGAAGCGCGAAGCGCGAATAACTTCGCGCTCTCGCGCCGCCCCCCAAGGAGGAGAAGAGGAGGACGAGGAGGAGGGGGAGGAGGAAGGAGGACGGCGAAGCGCGAAGCGCGAATAACTTCGCGCCCTCGAGGGAGCCCTTGCTGCTGGAGGGTCCAGCAGAAGCCCGTTGCCGTCCCTCGCCCAGCAGCGCGAGGGAGCCGCAGCCCCCCCCAGAGATCTCTGCAGAGAGGGCTGCGGAGGAGTTTGGCACCCAAGCTCGACGACATCGAGCACGAGGTGGACTCCGCGGAGGCCGCCCGTGCGGCCCCCGCCGCGGCGGAAGCTGGGCTCCACAGAGCCCGCCGGCGTCTTGATGAGGATGCCGACGACTTCGAAGCGCTGGCAGTGGACGCTCTCGCTGCGGCCATGGTGGCAAACAAGCGTGCAGTCGCAGCCGAGAGCTGGCCTTCCTCTTCCCGCTCCTCGTCCCCCTCCTCCCCGTCCTCGCTGCCACCCGCCACTCCCTCGTCTCTCCTCGACATGCAAGAATAGAAACGGGCCCTGGCAGAAATGGGCCCTGGACCACAGAGACTTGCCGCCTAGCTTTCTCCAGCCCGAAACATTTGTTGGCGGCCCCAGGGTCCGTAGACGGATCCCGACAGCCCGAATAACGCAGCGACCAGAGGCCAAAAAACAACGTGAACATCAATTATTCAACTGCGGGGCGCCAGATTGTGTTTATGCCGTTCTTGTTGAACAACAGAGCTCAAGACACGTCTCCTTCAAGACCCCTTCGGTGGCAACTCATGGGAACCTCCCGTACCATCTTGTCCGCTCCTGCGAATCGACGCCAGTCGACGCTAAATCGACGTTCGTCGACGCTCAATCGACGCCGACCAGCGCTAAATCGGCGCTATCTCATCAACTCCCAGACGCTAATCGACACTAGTCGACTCTAATCGACGTATTTAAGAGAATATACCAGGCCCCAATATTTGGCGACCGAAGACCCCCTCAGTTTCGCCCCCGCAGCGGGCACCCCAGGGCGGCGCCGGAGCGGCCGCCAGGGCTTGCAGCTGCACGGAGAGCGTCGCCGCGAAGACGTCCACGACGGGGAAGAGCTCCACGGGGCCGGGGCCGCACAGGTGCTCCTGGGGGGAGGGGGAGAGGAGGGGCGAGGGAGGGAGGGAGGGAGGGAGGGAGGGAGGGAGCGAGGGAGGAGGAGGAGGAGGAGGAGGAGGAGGAGGAGGAGGAGGAGGAGCAGGAGGAGGATCCGCGCGCTTCGAGACGGGCTGACAGCCGCCTCGACACGGGGGGTTTGGTTTCACCACCTGAGGTGCCAAGACCCTCCGACCGTGAACACGACGATGTCGAGCTCACACGAGGACGGACTTACCGATGCCGTGCATGTCCGCGGGAAGGGGTAAAGGGGCGAGGGCCCTGCACTCGAAGCGGCGAAGACGCCTCTCACCCCACCCCCGCTGCTCCTCCGGCGGCCAGCCGCCCCCGCTCCCGTCCCCAGGCCCATCAGCGCGAAGAAGTCGCGCATGCGGTCCTCGTCGCCGCCGCAGCGGCTGCGGAGGAGCTCGGAGGCGGCCTCCATGGAGCGGGCGGCCACGAGCTCCTCGAGCAGGCCGACAACGCCGCCAAGAGCAGCAGCAGGCGGCGCCACCTGCGACTCCGCGCCCGCAGGCGCAGGCGGGCGAGAGCGCGCATCGCACCCCACCCGTGGCGCCGGGAGGGCGGCGACGCGGCCGAGGCACGATCGGCAGGTCGTCGGCCCAGTCGTCGGGCGCCAGCTCCGAAGGCCCCTCCTCCGCAGCCCCATCCCATGCCATGGTCTGCGGGCAAGGTTCGTATCCATAGCCAGTGCGTCTTGGATTTTTTGGGAAGGAGCGTCACGAGGCCGAGGCGCACTGGATATGGACAAACATCGACCCTCTAGGGGGCAAACTTATCCATATCCACCGCGCCTCTGGTTTCTGGGGAAGGGAGCCCGAAACTCCACATCGCAGTGTACATGGGCAGAAGTATTGCCCGCAGTGGTCGTCCATCAGAGCGTCCTCCTGCTCAGCCTTGCCGCCGCCCGTCTCGCCGCCGCTGCCGCGAGGCCGCCGCCGCCGCCGCCAAGGGGCAGCAGGCGGCGCGGCACCCGCCGCCGCGTCCAGCGCGGGCGCTGGACGCTTGGCCGGGAGGGCCACCGCGGCCCTGACCGTGCCCTCGGCAGCACGGAGGAGCTAGGGCTCCCAACTTCGCGCTTCGCGCTCCGCGAAGCGCGAAGCGCGAATAACTTCGCGCTCTCGCGCCGCCCCCCAAAGGGAGAAAAGGAGGACGAGGAGGAGGGGGAGGAGGAACGAGGACCGCGAAGCGCGAAGCGCGAATAACTTCGCGCCCTCGGGGGAGCCCTTGAGGAGGCGGCGCGCCTCGACCACCTCCGCGCTGCCCGTGGTGAGCCCTGCCGCCGAGCGCACGGCCGGCAGCGCGCCGCGCGCGGCCTCCAGCGCCGCGGGGCGGGCTCCATCGCGAAACGTCGGTGGCATCGAGAATGCCGCGAAAGGACGAGCGACCCTGCAGGCGAAAACGTGAGCCAGAATGCCGACTAGGAGGAGGAGGAGGAGGAGGAGGAGGAGGAGGAGGAGGAGGAGGAGGAGGAGGAGGAGAACGAGGAGAAGGAGAAGGGAGAAGGAGGAGGAGGGGCGAAGGAGGGATGAGGGGGTGAGGGAGGAGGGGGAAGGAAGGGCGAGAAGGAGAAGAGACGGAAGGTGAGGCGGAGAAGAGACGGGATGGGGAGGAGGAATATTAGGAGGAGGAGGAGGAGGAGGCGGAGGAGGAGGAGGAGGAGGAGGAGGAGGAGGAGGAGGAGGAGGAGGAGAAGAAGGAGAGAGGGTAATGGATGCTACAGGCCACGAACTTCGAGTTCGCCCAACGCAACAGCAGGGGGAAAGGGGGCAAAGGAAAGAGAGAGAGAGAGAGAGAGAGAGAGCGAGACAGAGAAAGCGAGAGAGAGGTAGCGTTGGCGGCGCCTTGCGGCTCCGGTGTGCTGCAGTCGCTGCGTGGACTCGATTCGCAGCACCGGCCTGCTCGGTCGGGGTGTGCAGGCTGCGCCGTTGACCGCTCGGACCGGTTGGCGGCGTCTCAACAGAGCCTCCCTCCTCCCCGTTCCTTTCCTTCCCTTTCTCCCTCATCCCATCTCGCCCCTCCACCGCCTCTTCCTCCTCACTTGTCCTCATGAGCTGGGGCTCGACACCAACTCATGGCCCGACACGGCAAAACACTGTTCCTCTCCCCCTCCTCCTCTTCCTCCTCCCCTCTCTCTGCCATCCTCCTCCTCCTCCACCCCTCTCCTCCTCCCACTGAGCAATGCGTGACAGAGCCTGGCCACCGTGCATTCTCACGGCCAGCGCGACTGGGGACTACCGTCGGCAGACGGGGGCCAGCCTGCCTGGCCTCGAAGCCTGTGGCCCCTGTGCTGCGCCTTTTGAGGACGAGGTCGGGCGCAGACCCAAGCTTTTTAGTCAGCGGCCGCAGGCGAGCGCGCCAGCGGCGAGTCCAGCAGAAGCGGGGCACGCGACTACGAATTAGCCTAAAGCGACGGGGCGCAGCCATACCTACGGCGGGACAGAGCCTCACGCAGCACCTCGGCGGCGAACCGGCGAGTGGAAGGGGCTGGCGGTGAGCTGAAACAGTACTGCCAGGGTGCAGGTATGCAACGCGTCGGGAGCTGCAGGGCGCAGACCCAGACACCCAACATCATGATTTCTTCACGACGTCGACCCCCAGAGGCCTCGACCCATTCCCCAAGACTGGCTTTTCGTCCTGCGTCGTTCCTTGACGGTCCCGCGGCCCGGCTGGGGACCCCAAAGGCCGAGAATGGCGAAGCAACTCCGGTCTTGTTTTTGCCATGACTCGATGGAAGGTCTGGGGACCCCGCTCCCCCCCACCCCCGAGAAACACCAAGGGGGTCACCACCAACGGGGGACGACCCCCAAGTGCCCCGAACGGCCCCCGAAACGCCCCAGGACTTCGAAGGACGCCGCCAAGGACGCCCCCCCAAACGCCCCAAAACGCGCCCCAGGACGCCCCCCAAACGCCCCAAACTGATCCTCCCTCCCCTCCCCTCCTCCTCCTCCTCCTCCTCCTCCTCCTCCTCCTCCTCCTCCTCCTCCTCCTCCTCCTCGATCTCCAAATGTGGCGACCCCCTCCACTGGTGACCCCCATGTGGGGACACCAAGAGATACCGATACCGCTACCCCCTGGAACTCTCCGCTCTGACCAGCATGAGGCGAGTCCGGCCGTGGCGACGAGGGCCTCCCAAGAGGCCCCAACAGGCGAAAACGAGGCCAAGGGCAGCGGTACCGGTACCTTTTCCTCGTCTGAGCGGTAGTGTTCGGAACGTAACTCGGGCCTCCGGCGGCCGTTCGAGACGATCCGGGCACCCCCAGAACGCTCTCGGCGTGTCGCAGCCGCCGGAAAGCATCCCGAGGCTGGAGGACCGCTGAGAACCGGCACACGAAGCAAGGGCAGCGGTATCGGTTGGGGTCAGGGACGTTTGCTTAGCGCGTCGCGGGCGGTGGCCCCAGCGGCACGCTGTGCTCTGTGGGCGGGTAGCGTGTCGCTCCGCTCCGCGGTGCGGGCGGCTCGGAAGAGCTCGGGGCGCGGACGCCTGGGGACAGGGGTGTGGGCAGCGCGTCGCGCCGGAACGTGGTGGGCCAGAACCGGCGGAGCAGAACGCTGACCAAAAGTTCCCAGCCATAGCTTGTCCTCCTCTCAGCACTGGCGCTGGTCGAATGCATAGCCTAACCGATCCCTGTCCCCACTGGCGTGGCCTGGGCCCCACTGCCGCTCTGCCCTCCTAGAGGGGGACTATAGCTAGGCAGCTCCCTTCGGGTTTCGAGGGGCCTACCCCCAACTGGGGTGGTGGAATGGTTGGGCTGAGATACCACGGTCTGGTGGGAACGGGGCCAGCATGGTGGAAAAACCGGTCCTGAGGGACACGGATCCTGGACCCTGGGGCATTCTCCTCCTCCTCCTCCTCCTCCTCCTCCTCCTCCTCCTCCTTCTCTTCCTCATTCTCCTCTTCCTCATCCTCATCTTCTTCCTCCCTCCTCCCTTCCCAGGACGAATTCCTTCATCCTGAGTCGTTTCCTGACAGCCCTGGGGGCCGTGCAGGGCCCCAAGAGCCCGAAAACGGGAAAAAGCACCTCAGGACCTGTCATCCCTCCGGACCCGTTGCCCTCCTAGCAAACGGGGATCGGTCAAACGATGCTGCCCGAAGGCCAGGGCGCGAGGTGTGGGGGGGGGGGGGGCACCCTGGGGGGCGAGCGAGGACCTCGACAGAGCTCTCCGCCGCGCCCCGAGGATGCCCGACGCGGACAGCGTCGTGCTCCCTGGGCCCCCAAAGGTGCCGATCGCACACCGCACCATGGCTTAACCCCACCCTCTGCAGTCGCCGAACCGTGGCCCAGTGGGCATGGGGGTGGCCGCGACCGGCGCCGAGCGTGCCCGCTCGCCGGGGGTTCGGCGAGGGCGCGCCGCGGCCGCTGGCGTCTCCTGGAGAGCACCCTCCGCGTGGACCACCAGGGTGCCGTCGACCTCGGGCCGAGCGGCCAGGGGTGCCTTCCTGCAGAGGCCTCCGACAACAACAACGACGCCGCCGCCGCCGACGACGAAGTCGACGACGACGACGACGACGACGGCGACGACGGCGACCCCCTTCCTTCCGATCCCACTCCTGGCTCTGCTCTCGCTCTTCCTTCACCTCGTCCTGTCCCTCCTTCCCGTTCTCCTGTTCCTGCCCCTCGCTCCCTTCTCCCCACATTCCTTTACGCGAGGCAGAAGGGGATGGAGGCGAGGGGGGAGGGGGAGGATCTGGGGAGGAAGGGGGGAGAAATGGGACGGAGGAAGGGGTAGCGGGGAGCGCAATGGCGGACGGGAGGATGGTCGGGCACAGCAGGGGTGAGGCGGAGAGAAGGTGGAGATGGGGTAGGAAAATCGTCAAGCGAGAAACGAGAAGGAGCATGGCGAGGAGGAGGAGGAGGAGGAGGAGGAGGAAGAGGGAAATAAGCGTGCCACCTCCCTCCTCGTCCTTCCTCCACATCCTTCCTGTTATCTCCGCCCCCCCTCCTCCGCAACGGAAAGATCACAGAGACTCCAGCAATGACAATATCTCCTGTAACGCGCTCAATCACTGCAGGCTCAATAATGGCACACCCGCTCACTCTGAGTTCAACAACCGCATGTTCGACCTCACTGAGTGTGCGCTTCACAACGGCTGGCCCCCCCCTCAGGGTGTCCAACCGAAACAACTCGACAACGGCGACTCGACCACACTGACATCGACCCAAACACCAACTCCAACACCAAAACACGCAACGTCGTCGAACGCAACGGAAACGCTGTGGTCTACAACGGCACCTTAGGTTCCGCAATCATACTGACGTCGACACTGCCACCTGCAGGGTACCAGACTAATACCTCTGTCCAATAACAATGTGCCCATGCTAGGGGCCTTCTAGATGGGGTCCGAGTAGATAGGGGTTCGAGGATCGCGCCGCATCGCCAATACATCGCGGATGCATTCATGATGCATCGGCGATGCATCGGCGACGTCGGCGACGCATCCGCGACGTCGGCAGAAAGAATATTAGGCTCCACATCGAGGCGCATCGCCGATGCATCGGCGATGCGGCGCGATCCTCAGACCGCATCCACTCGGACCCCATCTGGGAGGCCTAGACATACCATTGTCAAGACCTTGAGGATCCCACGAGCCGGAGAAGACACTGACATAAATGCAACATGTTGTGAAGAATGCCTGGGCCGCAGGTTGGAGACCTCCCGTGATCTCCCCTGGCCGCGCCCTGCACTGCACACGCGTCAGCGCGTGCAAAACGCTGGCGTGCCAGGCGCATGTTGCCCCCCCCCCCCCCCCCCCCCCCTGCGCGCATGTACCCGTACTTTCTTATCCTTGGATCCTATGCGACTGCGAAATCTTAACCGTACGTGTTGCACGCTAAGATGACAAACTGAAGTTCGCAAGTCTAGAATATGCGTCCCCCCTGCATGAGCCTCTGGGGAGCACGGTGGGCCTCACAAGCAACACTTTCGTTTGAATCCGCCTGGCTGGCCGCATGTTGGTTCCTCCACGATTCTCGGGTCGGGCGAAAGGGGGGGATAGCAAAGGGGGGGGGGGAGAATCAGCTCATGCAGTTGATTTTTCCGGCGCCTCCCGGCGCCGGAGGCGGATGTATCGAGGAATGGGCCCCTCGGTGGGGCCGAAACCAGCTGCATGCAGCAAATTTCGTAACCCCCCCTTTCCCTATCCCCCCTTTTCGTTCGGCCCGAGACTTGTACAGAATCCGCGGAATTCGCGGACCGCAGGTTGGACACCCACCTTGGCGCCCTGGCATCCACGCGCGCGAACACACCTGCCAGATGCAAGCTATCCCAGACGCACGTTCGACGCCCCACTTCGGCGTACGTGCTCTCACTCGTGGACAATCGTACTTCTGTTGCTCACTCCCCTTCGGTCTAGGGCTAAAGGCCCCACCGCTCCAAGAGAATCGTGGGCCCACGCCCTTGTCAGGAAATGGTTGGCATCACTACAAACAACGGGAGGACCATGACTGTGTACACTGAGCGGGAAGGGCCACACACGACGGAATCCTCGAGGACGCCAGCGCATCGCATCCAAACCTCGGAAGTGAGGAGGAGGAGGAGGAGGAGGAGGATAAGGCTACAGTCGGACCTAGGCCAGAAGAACACTCCTCCAGAACAAAGAGCCCCTCCGCTGGCCAACACAGTGAGAACATCCAAGGGCACCCTCCCCAGGATGCACCAGAGCATCCAACAGACACAAACATTCTAGAGGCAACGTCCCCGCACCGACCCCGATCTCATACCCTGGGGCGGCCAAGATGCGGGCGTCCAAGAGGGGGGGGGGGGGGGCGAATTATGGCCGGCGGCAGGTGCGCGGCCCAGGGGCGGGCCGGGGACGTAATGAAACAAGAGGAGGCGCCATGAAATCTGGGGAAATATCATGGCCTACACCCTGCGAAATGCTTAAGAAAGCATGGGTTAAGAAAGTCATAATCTCAGAATTTGAATACAACCCAGAACTTCTATCAAAATCTTGGGATTCACATGGAAACATTAAGAATCATCGAGACTCTCGCCGAAAACTTAAGTTTTCTTAAGCATCGCCTAAGGTGTACGCCATGATATCCACCCTCCCCTAGTCATCACCGCCCTCTGTGCCGCCCCCGATATACCTCGGTCCGACTGCGTGCCGAGGGCCGGGCACTCTGTCCGGCGTCGGCCCGGACGCCTTCGGATTTTACAGCGGCGGGCAAGCTAAGCTGCAGCACGAAGATGCGTAGGTCACCAGAGCCATCGCCTTCGCACCCCCGCTTCGGCCCACGCGCAGACACAGCAACCACTTGGCCAGGGAGGGAACGTTCGAGAAGAGCGGCCTTGACATTACCACCTAACAAAATAACTCGTTCGCACTTCTTCGAAATCATGTGGTTACCTTGGTGTGTTTCTGGACATGCAGCTCCTGGTAGAAACACGCTGGGAAATAAGAAACGCCAAGCGACTTGAGGGGGAGGAGGGGGAGCATGAGGGTCCGTCTCCCTCCTCGGCATCGCCCCATATCTGATGAGAAGGAGAAAGGGAACGAAGCTGGAGGCCGATTACTTTTTGAGAAGAAGTTGCCGTGTTCCGCCGCAAAGGGGATTCGCCGAACACGGTCAAGACGCATGAGCCCGACCTAACAACCTAAGTCATGAAATTAGAACCTGGAAGACCCACCCAGTCGTTCGTCCGTAAGCGCCGTCAGCGAGCGAAGGCAAAAGCAGCAAAAAGCGAGCATGCCCTGCAGTATGAGTTGTACCCTCCACCGTTTTCGCGCAACTCTCGACCCTCTACTCCATATTCTCTATTCTTGCCTCTCCGCGCTTTGCTCTCTGCCCAAATGTTCTCTGCTTTGTGTGCGCTGCACTGTCTGCACTGTCTACCCTCTGCTACGTACGATATAGTCTCTATAATACACCATATCAACTCTCGCTGGTCGTTGCCTGCTTGTCTTAACCTCTGTCGTAGCATTGCTCTCTCTGGCCCTCTGTCTCTTTCTCTCTTTCTCTCCCTCTCTCTCTCTTTCACACACACACACAAGCTCTCTCTCTCTCTCTCTCTCTTCCCCTCCACTCTGTCCGACCTCTACTCTTCTCTGAACTCTCTCTGCTCTGGATGTAAAGGAAACCTGACCGCCCTCTGGCATCGGCGGGGAACTTCCACCAATCCCCAGAACTGGGAGAACGGCAGCCCGGCAACCAAGTGAAAACAATGGCGAATGTTCGCCAACTTCTTACAATGTCGAGAACCCGCCGACCTGCCCGCCAATCAAAATCGATCCACCACTTCCGCCGAAATCCTTTCCACTTCCGGGGAACAGCGCACGCACTGCTCAGGGAACAGCCAAGAACCCACCGCTCACTGAGCCACCCCCCTCCACCTCACCCCCGACTCCTCCTCATCCCTCCCTCCGCCTCCCTCCCTCCCTCCCCCCTCGCATCCCCTCTCCCCCGCGATGGTGCATCTTCTCGGCCTCCTTAGGACTCTCACACCCGTAATCGTCCTGCTCACCATCCTGCTTTCGCCCACCTCTCTCGTTACCAATGGAGCTCTAACATCGTGAAACGCCGTGAATAATTTCGCCATAGCAACAAGAAGTGTGTCCTGTGCAGAGAAAGGGAAAGAGGCAGAGAGAGAGAGAGGGGGAGAGATAAGCAAAGCATGAGCAAATAAAGAAACAGAGGGAGATGACATATAGAGAAGACAGGAGAAAGAAACAGAGAAAGAGGGAGAAACATAGATATATATATATATATATATATATGTATATGGTTACAGCGCCCTCTGAGATCTACCTTTCAAACATGAATGTACCTTTCCTTTTGTATACAAATGAAATAACAATCAACTCATTTAATCTATTTAACTATTTGATTAATTTAATTCAATTAATTCCTTTACTTTATTATTTAATTTATTTAATTCATTTAATTTATTTAATTTTGATACACCTTCATCTGCCAAGGAGGTGACAGAGGGAAGGGGTTACCAGGGCCGTTAAAAATTAAATAATTTAATAAATTTAATAAATTAAATAAATTAAATAATTCCTTGGGTTTTTTTGCATTTACAATAGGAAACCTATTGTGTAATAAAAAACACAGGAAATCATTTAATTCATTTAATTTATTAAATTTATTTAATTTATTTAATTTTAATACACCTCCATCTGCCGAGGAGGTGACAGGGGGAAGGGGTTGCCAGGGCCATTAAAAATTAAATAAATTAAAAAAATTAAATAAATTAAATAAAATAAATAATTCCTTGCGTTTTTTTGCATTTACAATAGGAAACCTATTGTGTAATAAAAAAACACAGGAAATCATTTAATTTATTTAATTTAATTGATTTAATTTATTTAATTTATTTAATTTTAATACACCTCCATCTGCCGAGGAGGTGACAGGGGGAAGGGGTTGCCAGGGCCATTAAAAATTGAACAACTTAAATAAATTAAACAAATTAAATAAATTGAATAATTCCTTGCGTTTTTTACATTTACAATAGGAAACCTATTGTGTAATTTAAAACACAAGGAATCATTTGATTTATTTCATTTATTTAATTTATTTACTTTATTTAATTCCAATACACCTCCATCTACCGAGGAGGTGATAGGGGGAAGGGGTTATCAGGGCGATTAAAAATTAAATACATTAAATAAGTTAAATAAATTAAATAAATTAAATAGATTAAATAAATTAAATAAATTAAATAAATTAAATAAATAAATTAAATAAATTAATTAAATAAATTAAATAATTCCTTGCGTTTCTGGCAGTTACAATAGGGAACCTATTGTGTACACTAAGAACCTATTTTGGAATAAACACGCAGGACATTAAAAGGAACATGCGATTGGAAGTGTCGGCGATGCAATGCCAAGAGAGATTTGGATGATTTTCCTGTGCACCACGCGCACCAGCTCGTCAGTATCCAAAGAACAACATAATGGAGAGAGCATGATTCAATAGCTATTTGACATGACATGTCCCATGGCTTTCCATTTGTCATCGTGTTCGTTCCAATACTTCCACTGGAACTCTCTCGTATACAAATCTACAATGTCATCGCGCGCTCTAATCGTTTTTGGTACTCCATTGTTTTTCAAAAGACCCCATACTCGATCAATAATCTGAGTTCCTTTCTTAACCCATCGCTTGACAAATTTAACACTCGACGTCCCCAATAGATTTGTCTTGAGATAATCCAACGGCAATCGGTGGCACCATCGCGCAGCATACACTGGTCGAGGCCGCTTGTGCTTGACAGTGTCGACGACTACACCAGGCACCTTGGTGAATCGGTAAGCTCTGGCCCCGTCGCTGTGTAGAATGATTTTGCGCCGCTTCAGGAACTTGTCGCATATGGGTTTCCACCCTGCTTTTGGGATTGGCCCCGAAGATGCGAATGAACCTTTTCCTTTGCCGTGCGCCTTTGCTTTAGTGGTTTTTGATTTCATCTTTACCAATGCCAAACTTCGGCGGTCGCCTCTGGTTATCAGACCGCAGTATTGCACCCAGGTAATTCGCATACCATCTTTACTTTTGGCTCCTCGAACAGACGTCTCATCCACTTCCACTTCCGTCCATTTCTGTTGATCTCCAAAAACCATTTTTGATTGCTGCCGCAACACATAGCGACGAACAGCCCGAAGCCATCTTTTGTTCACGCGCTCTATAACCTTTTCTGACATACCAGTTATTAAATGCATCTTCCCCGACGGGATGCCCGCTGCTCTACCGAACAAAACTTGAGCTTGCTCATTCAATGAAATTTTACGACTGCCCCATCCTAAATTGAATATCGGATGGCACGAGTGTGGATACACGAATTTATTGCAGCATTTTGCGTTACATCGATGAACCCATCCTCTTTTCTCAACGCGTCGCAGGGGCTTCAGCGAAGCGCTGCCACACAGAGGGCACACGCCTTCGAAGTTTTTCAACAGACCAATGCTACGAAGATGTTCGATGGTTTGGCGCTCAGTCATCTGCGCCAACCTGGTCAAATTCATGCACCATTCTTGAGAACGGCATCCTCTGCTCGTTGTGTCTACTTTCTGGCCAATAGGCACGTATGGAACTTCCTTGGGAACGCGTCTCAAACCGCCCGCTTTGTTTTTGAATTTGGGTAGCTTCCCACATAACAGTCTGCCTTTGCCGCGCTTCGGCGATGGATAAGAATGATGCGAAGACGACGGCCTGCGCAAAATCAACCGCTTTGCACCCGCCTCCAAATCGAGTAAAATATTCTCTGGGGCATTCCCATCCAATGGGAAGTCCGTGACCTGGAACAGAACGAGGTGTTTCCTGTCTATCGCTGCGTCCCAAGCTCTTGCCCACACGGCGCGCTCCACTGTGCACTTCACATCACCATCAATAACTGTATAATTTCCTCCTTCACCGACATACAGTGCCACGCAGTGCGGGGCGCCTTTGTTCTCTGAGTGCGTCAAATACCACCCCCTTGTTAATTCTTCTTCAGGCATGCGCACTGGAATCAGATGCACGTCACACACCGTCGCTGCTTGTCTGTACGGTCGTACTTTCCTTTCCATGGCATCACTGTTATCTTCGTTGTTTGCTGGTGCCTTTGCTGCAATGGCGCGCACTTTCGCAGTCGCGCGCGCAATGGCAGCCAGCGCGCAGTTGCCTGGCCTCTTCAGCACATCAGGCAAAGGCTCCTGTACTGCTGTTGAAGACCCTTCAGCGAAAATCGTGTCCATGAATGAATTGCGGGACTTGCGCGCGATCTTCACGCGATAACCAGTGGCAAGTAGAATCGCCTCCTCGGATTCCTTCGCGAACTCCTCATCATTGGACAATGCGTTCGGGTCCGTCATGATCCCGTCGAAGTGCAGGCTCAGGTGTGCTGGCCGACTGCACCTTCCGAGTACGAAGCGCACCCAGGCTTCCAAGATGTAGTCCTCCACCGAAGTCCAAGTATAGAACCATACAGTTGCTGCAGGGTTCTGCGTCTCCTGGGCATCTACCACATGTTGCAAAAATTCGGGGTTTATCGATGCTGCTAACCATCGCAGCAAAATTCCTTCTTGCTGAAGAAGCTGCAAGAAAAGATTTGTCGACAATTCCTCTGGTATCTTGCCTCCGTTCACCACCTTGATGCAAACACGCTTACACTGTTCTGGAAGAAGCCTAAGTTGCCGAAATACGTCGTCTGCGTTCGAAGCCACCTGCTCGATCGCTTTGAAGGATGCAGCTGGATGGTCAATGAGAACATTAACTCTTTTGATTATTTGCCACGCTAAGGTGTACATCGTCTTTACAATATCCCAATCTCGTTTGTTCGGAACGGCAATGTGCTTAGATGCGTTGCTGATGGCCTGCGCTCCACTGCCGTCCACGTATCGTCTGGACCTCTGTTCTACCTTGCGATGGTAATGCGTTTCAAGTGTATACTCAGCGAGAACAATTCCATCCCGGCCAGAGCTGCATTTCGAAAGATGATCTGCAAGCTTGGACAAGGCGTGCTCTTGGCGTTGTAACTTTTCCGCTTTACTCTTGCATTCATCCCGCAGCTGGGCAGCTCGTTGAGGAGGCTTACCTTTCTTCTTCGGCACGTAATATTCTGCCAACTGTAATACATACGAATGCAATGTCGTGGAATTTTTGCGTCGGCTTGCTCCCATGGCATAGTCCACGAGATCCCTCGACAGAATGTTCTCCTGGAGCTTGACGATGTCCTCCGCGCACTCTGTCGGAGCCAGCGATTGCATTGTCCCCTGGAAACAGGCTGCTGGCATGTACGCAATGTTGCCCTTCTGTCCGATCCCATTCTGAATGCCCGCCACCGTGTCTCTGGGCACGGTGCGGGCGTGTCTTCAGAGGGACCTGAGTCTTCCGCGGCTAGATAGCCCCAGGGCATCCCAGAAGGCCTCGAAGAAGCCACAAGAGACCTACAAGAAGCTACCAAAAATACCTACACTGCCTTCAAGCGGACCCCGAAAAGCTCTCCGCGACGCCCCAGCGAACGCCAAGGAAACCTATGATACACAACCCAAACAGAGCGCGGAGTGGGCCGAAGGCCAGTGTGATACAACCTCTTCTGAATTAGCCGATTGAACTCCTTTCGCCTTATCGCTGGAGGACCAGTCACAAGCCCAACGCCCAGCTTGTTCGAGAATTCCTCCACCGTGACAGAGTCGATGCAATTGTCTAGCATCACAACAGCTATGCGCATCGCCAGTTTCTCATCTTCACCTTGCGCTGCGGCAATGGGATCAAATGGCGGCGGCGGCGCAGCGCTCGCTAGTGTGCCGCCTGCGCCCTCATCAGTTCCGCTTGACACTCCTGTGGCCGCTTCCACGCAGCTCTTCGTAACACCACCGTCGCCGCCCTATCGGGCGCGGCCAACCCGACCCCTCAGCAAATCATGCGCTTCCATGCCGCGCCCCTCGCTCCCCAAGAGAATCTCTTGGAACCTCGCGGTGGGCACTTCACGGAAGGGCATGGTGTGCTAGGGGTCGGTTTGGCCACCCCCGACCTCTGCGTAATCCTCGATGATTTGCAGACTGTCATCTTTCGTGTGCTTTCGCATGAAGCCGTGGAGTATCTGCCACAACGCTAGCGCCGCAGGTGCCGACTTCAAAACGTCCTTCAACTTAGGGTCCTTGCAGAAGATACCTTTGTTCGACGCATTGGGAATGGCAGCCGCGAGATCGGGGGGCAGGAACTTGGCCTTGAGAATCACCACCCAAGAACGACGATGGATACTGTCTACGCCCGGCAGCGTTACACCAGTAAACTTGATCAATTTGTTAAGTTCCAACCTCTTCCATCCATATAATGAAACTAAATGCGTAACAATACCGTAAGGTAACCGAGCAGCAATGGGATCAGCAGAAATATGCTTCTTGTAAAGATCTTCTCGAAAACCATGCTTGGAATTCTCCACTGCTTCTTGTCCGGTGGTGATGAGCTTGTGGGCCAAGGTCTCTGCTTGCTTCCGAAGTTCGTGGTCGTCGTAGTATACGTTTGTATCTAGGAAGGCATGCAAGCCAGAGAACGCGTTGTCTATGAGGTGCGTCAGCAAAGATTGTCCCACCCCGCCAGGGCCGACAGTCCAAAAACAACGATCGATATTCATTCCTTGCAAAACAAGACACATTGCTGCTAGTTGACAGTCAAGGGCGTGTGAGTTGCCCCAAAAAGTTGACGATAAGAATCGCTGGACTGTTTGTCGCGCGTCAGCGAGGACGGGGTCATGGAGATTATGTGGTATGTGGATGTAGACGTTCTGGCACGGCGTCTTGTCCACGGAAGCAACGCACCCGCTGGCGTCGAATCTGAGACACGCATCACCGAAGCAGGCGCCCGAGGACGCCTGACGAGGTGAGCCGCACCACTCTGCGTAATGTTTGATTATCCTGGTGCCCAGCAGCTCCCTCTGCAATGTTACAGAAATTCGCTGCACCATCTTGGCGAAGAAAGGGCCCTGCTCCAACTGCTCCTCAACGGCTTCGCCAGGGGGACCATCGGCTCCACCAGCAAATGCGTCTTCTGCTTGATCTTCGCGCGCAACTCCTGGCTCTGCCTCATGATACCTCCCTTGGCCAAATATGCTTCTCGACGCACATCCTTCGCAGTGGCGGGGGAAGTCGAGATCTGACATGTTCAACTTAGATCTCATGCCCTTGAACTGCTCAACGAACGCCTCGTCCGCCATTGGCTGCCACTTGTGCATCTGCAAGAACACGCCTTCAACTTGCAAGAACGATCTCCTGCATATGGCTAGAACGCCCTCGGAGATGAGGCCTTCGAACGGGCGCCAGGACCCGTCGCAATACATGTAGAGCACGCCGTTGTGTGCGCGCAGGACATCACCGCCGAGCAGTACATGTAGAAGTAAACAATGTTCGCGTAGACCAACGTCGCATGGGCGGCATCTATGAAGAGCGAGCGCGGCAATGAGCACGCGTCGTACATCACTTCCCAGTTCGCGGCACGACGCTTCGACCAATTGGTTCCATGCGTCGGTCAACGACTGGATGGAATCACCGCGTTGTTGCACTGACTTTCGCATTGTCCTCCTGGCCTCTTCTCCGCTCTTGTCGTGCGCCGCGAGCAGGTCGACCGTCGACTCGCCCTCTCTTTTCTGGCGTTTGCGAGACACCTGTGACTCTGCGATGTGTTCCTCTCTTGCCGCGGCCTCCTGGATCGACTCGCCAGGGAGGTCGCATGGCGCGGCATCTTCATCTTCCACGTCTTCATCGCCTGCCACTTCAATGCTGTAGGGGTCGCCGAAATCCATGTGGATTATCTCGGAAGAATAGATGATAATGAAAAAACGGGCGCTTGTCCTCTCCACGCTCTGCACGAATGTAGTGAGCGTAGTGGCAATCCGTTCGTTGACGTTGCCGTCGTCAACGATCTCCACCTCGGGCTCGTGCGTCATCCTGGGGAACCGCACGGTGAAAGCATGGCCTGACATGCCCGCCACGGGCGATACTTCCAGGCACACGCGGCAGGCGCCTGACCGAAGTAAATTCGACCATCTTTGACGCCGTTCGAACTGCAACTGCGGAAACGAGACCTGCCCTCGCCCAGTGCAGACACGGTGCGCCAACACGTTGAAGTACGCTACTGTCAGCGGCGCTCGAACTTCCCATGTTGGACAGATGGAAGCCCATGCGTCGTCCGCAGCTGCGGTGGCATTCAGTAAACACGTCCCCATATCAGACAACGACAACTCCGCGTCGAAGACCCTCTCTGTCTGGCGCAGGGCGTCGGGAATGAAATTGATGACGTTCTCCGAAGCATCTCCGCTCTCCCTCTCGATGTCCGAACAACCGCGCGCGCTGCCCCCCGCCACCGCCACGCGGTGCGGGTTTCTCTCGGGCGACGCGCCGCCGAAGTCGAGCCGAGCCTCAGCGCAGCCCTCGATGCCAGCCGCGCTCTCTCTGACCTGGTCATTCGTGGCGGCGCGGCCTTTCTTGCCCGCGCGGCCATGGCGGTTCTTCTGCCAGCGCTGGGGGGCGTCGAGGAAGTAGGGCTGCTCGTTCGTCTCGCGAATGATGGCGTCGAGATCGTCCAGATCCACGGGGTTGGTTGGGGCGCGCTGGGAGGCACTGCGCTGTTGTTTTTCTTCTTCTTCATCATCTGCGAGGGGGAGTTGGACGACGGCTCTCGATCGCCCTTTCCAGAGTCACCGAACAGATGGTGCCGCCATGCCTTCGCCGCAGCGGGCGCAGCTCTCAAGTGCCCACTGGCTTGCTTCACTTCGTGTCCTGGCTCATTGTGGATGTAGCCCCAGGCCGGCTTAGGAAAGAGCACGGCGTTCGTGAACCGCAGGTCCACGCACAAGTCGTTCCATGTTGACTTGCCCATTGACAGGAAGCTCGTCGTGGGTGACACCGCAGCGACGCCGTGCGGCGTTCCATCGATGGTCTCGGCGGCGGAGTCGACGCCCATGTCGTACGGCAACATAGCTGCAACCTGGCAATAATTGTTATATTATCTTTGTTGTTTTTTTGAATGTGTTTGATGTTTTGATTTTGTTTGATGTCATTTTGTTGGCTGTAACCTGGAAATACGACCTCGAAGCGTCGTCGCGCAGCATTACATCGATGGTCTCGGCGGTGGAGTCGGCGCCCATGCCGCGCGGCAACGTGGCTGCATTCGGATCGGTGGAGCTGAACTTGTTGTAGATGTCACGCAGGTCCTCCAGGCCCTCGGCATCAAAAGTGATTGAATTTGAATCATCGACATTGATCGGGCGAGCTGTCCTCGAACGTCCCCGCAATGCAGGTGCTGTAGTATCCAAATCGGGCAACCCGTCCGAATCTGCACGCGCAGTCCGCGGACGAGACAGTGACCTGGATCTCTGGGACGCACGAGGTGAATCTGAGAAATGGATGAACGTGTTCCTCACGCACAACATATGTGCGCAGTCGCAGGCTCGGTACTGAAAGAATGCGAAATGCGAAATTGCAAACCTCAGCGTTGACTGACTTGAGCCTGCAAAGCGAATGATGACCTGGTCCTGTTGTGGGTTTCGTTGTAGCTCCTGTTGTGGTTCCTGTTGTGGTCTCTGGTGTGTTTCCTACTGTGACTCCTGTTGCGATTACTGTTGTGGCCCCTGTTGTGGTTCCTGTTGTGGTTCCTGCTGTGGTTCTTGTTGTGGTTCTTTGTTGTGGTTTCCGTTGTGGTTCCTGTTGTGGTTCTGGATGGGACGACACCAATCCAACAATTTTTTCAAAAAACAAAAAATTGTGGCGCGGGTGCCAACACAAATAATGGGCGGGTCTTGTTGTGGCTCCTGATGTACTTCTTGCTGTAGGTCTGATGTGGTTCCTGTTATGGGTCCCGTTGTGGTTCTGGTGTGGTTCCGTTGTGGTTCTTCGTGTGGCTTCCGTTGTGGTTCCTGTTGTGGTTCCTGTTGAAGTTCTTGCTGTGGTTCTTGTTGTGGTTATTGTTGTGGTGCCAGCTGTGGTTCCTGTTGTGGTGCTGGGGAGGGGGGCAATTAAAAACTTGCGTAATGTTTATGTAGTGCAGACATGCAACATAAGGCTTGGACCAAGGTCGACGGAATACGATATGTCCGGCTGCAACTACAATCTGAAGATAATCTTCCGCCGCATTCCACCCCACTTCATCTTTATCTCCCTCCTCCCTGCTCACCCTCCTCCTTCCTCCTCCTCCTCCTCCTCCTCCCCCACTCCCCATATGTTAATTCCAAGCTTCCGCCAGCTTCCTGCAACTACAATCTGAAGATAATCTTCCGCCGCGTTCCACTCCACTTCATCTTTATCTCCCTCCTTCCTGCTCACCCTCATCCTTCCTCCTCCTCCTCCTCCTCCTCCTCCCCCGCTCCCCATATGCTAATTCCACGCTTCCGCCAGCTTCCTGCAACTACAATCTGAAGATAATCTTCTGCCGCATTCCACTCCACTTCATCTTTATCTCCCTCCTCTCTGCTCACCCTCCTCCTTCCTCCTCCTCCTCCCCCGCTCCCCTATGCTAATTCCAAGCTTCCGCCAGCTTCCGCAAGCAACAGAATTGTCAGCCGAAGTTGCACTCCCACGCATCCCACTCCACTTCATCTTTATCTTCCTCCTCCCTCCTCCTCACTCCTCCTCCTCCTCCCCCCCCTCTTCCTCCTCCTCCTCCTCCCTCCTCCCGCGCTCCCCTATGCAAATTGCAAGCTTCCGCCAGCTTCCGCAAGCATCAGAATGCTTCCGCCAACTTCCGCCAGCTGCGGCGGAGTGCTTGGCGAAGATACCTTCAGAGAGTCGGAAGATCCAAAACAAAAATGCCACCCCGAGCATGGTCCTCGAAATTCCAGCCCCATGCCGTTGGGCACAGGGCTAGAGTTTCGAGAACCATGCTCGGGGGGGCATATTTTACACATGTGGATGTGTTTTCCTCCTCCTCCTCCCTCCTCCTCCTCCTCCCCCGCTCTCCTATGCTTATGGCAAGCTCCCGCCAGCTTCCGCAAGCATCAGGATGCTTCCGCCAGCTGCCGCCAGCTGCGGCGGAATGCTTGGCGAAGAAACCTTAAGAGAATCGGAAGATCAAAAAAAAAATGCCCCCCCGAGCATGGTCCTCGAAATTCCAGCCCCATGCCGTTGGGCACAGGGCTAGAGTTTCGAGAACCATGTTCGGGGGGGCATTTTTTTACACACGTGGATGTGTTTTCCTTCTCCTCCTTCCTCCTCCTCCTCCTCCACCGCTCCCCTATGCTAATTGCAAGCTTCCGCCAGCTTCCGATGCCGATGCTCGGGGGGGGGGATGAATGCTAGAAGGCTGGCGAAGCGGGAAATGGAGAAAGAGAGAGAAAGAGAGATGAAGAACGAGGGGTAGATAACAAGAGGACGAACGAACTAAGATAATAATAAGATAATATGACAACGCAGAGAGATGGAGGAGCGCTTCCACTCGATAAAAACCATATGAAAACGGCGAGGTCCGCCACAATTCCCCGACCTCGAGAGTTAAGGAATGGAGGAAGGAGCGAATAAGAAGACGGTAAAAAGAAGAAGAGGGAATAAAGCCAATCAAGACGAGAAAGGTAGATCACAGAGGGCGCTGTGAGCATATATATATATATATATATATATATATAATGATGTACATAGAGAGAGGGAGGGATACACATGTTTAATATATATATATATCTGTATATACGACTGTGGACACGTGGATTAATCCACGGAGCTGCGTGAGTCAAAGTTTGCCGACGCGCGCTTCTGTGGTGCGCAAATCCCAGCAGGCTGCGGTGTGCGATCGACAACCAACGTGAAATCGACGATCTTCGCCGCTTCAGGTCCTCTTGGGGGTCCGCCTGGGGCTCTTTGGGGGCGTCTTGAACCCTCTAGGACCGTCTTGACAGCATCTTCGGCCGTCTTGAGGCCCTCGTGGGCAGACGCGGGGCCCTCTTGGTCTGTCTTGGGGGCCTCTTGCGGGCTTGTTGGGCCATCTGGGGGCCTCTTGGGGTTTATTGGGCTGTCTTGGGGACCTCTTGGCCTCTCCTGGGCTGTCTTTGGACTCTCTTGGGCGCCTCTTGGGCCGTCTCGGGGCGATCCTGGAGGGCTCTTGGGCCGTCTTGGGGTTAGGGGTCCAGACGGTCGAGAGCGCGAGAATCTTAGAATCCGTAGAGCACCCATAGGACATCAAAAATTTAGGGCTCCTGGCGCCCTGTAGGGTGTCCCCTAGGAGCTGTCTCTGGGCGTCTTGGCGTGTTACGGGGCCGTCTTGGGAGCATCTTGGGCCGTCGGAGGGCCGTCTTGGGTCATCTCGGGGCTGTCGTTGGTCGTCTCGGGGCCTCCTTGGGCCGTCTCTGGGCTATTCTGGGAAGCTCTGGTGCCGTTTCGGGGCCCTCCGGAGACCCTCCGGAGCCGTTTCGGGCTCCCCGGGGGCCTCGGTGGACCGGGGGCCCCCGCCAACCCACAAACCTCCTTTCAGATTTGTTTGAATCGATCTGTATATGTAGGTGTACGTGTATAAATAAAAGATATATACACGCATGTATGGTGAGAGGAGAGAGGAAGCGAGGGAGAGGGAGAGAGAGAGAGAATGACACAACACATATGTATATAAAGAGAGAGAGAGAGAGAGAGCAAGAGATGGAGGAGGATATATGAAGGGAACCGGTGTGTATATATATATATATATACGTATATATACAGATGAATATGTATGTATGTATGTATGTATGTATGTATGTATGTATGTATGTATGTATGTATGTATGTATGTATATATATACAGAGCGAGAGAGAAAGCGGGCGAGAGAGAAAGAGAGAGAGAACCAAATAAGCAACATAACAGGAAAGACACACAAAGAGAGGACAGAACGAAGGCTGAAACAAGTGCAACTGCCCTGCTCCCCTCCTGAGACCAGGGCCCCCACACGTGCACCAACAGGGACAGTGTCCGCACGCCATCGAGTGCGGCGCTCCTCGCGCCGAGTTCATTCTGCATCTGAGCGGTGAAAACAAACGGATCGTTCGCGAGATGGCATAGCGACCTGAAACAGCGGTTTACGCGGACCGCCAGCGCGGCACGCCACCTTGGAAGCGAGGGCACCTACGCGCGACTTCACGCGGGAAGCTTACGCGCCAATGTTGGCGAAGACGACGCCGTTTTCTTCCGTCGACCATTCCGCCTCCACAACACATCTCTCTTTTGCTGGTGATCCCAATCATCGTCTCGCCACACCGATGACGCCATCTCACCAGCTCTGTATCCGCCGCCGTGCCTCTGGACACGAGTGGGCGTTTCCTCAGATTAAGGGCTCCTAAGTTCGCGCTTCGCGCTGCGCGAAGCGCGAAGCGCGAATAACTTCGCGCTCTCGCGCCGCCCCCCCAAAGGGAGAAGAGGAGGACGAGGAGGAGGGGGAGAAGGAACGAGGACCGCGAAGCGCGAAGCGCGAATAACTTCGCGCCCTCGAGGGAGCCCTTCAGATCCTTTGCCGAAGCCGTGGGGCCCGAGTCCTCAATCCTGAGGCCCAGACCCAAAATTCCAAACTTTTGCAGGGCGTCCCGCGTGCCCCGTGGGCTCCGTGAAGCGTTCTCGCATGATCTGTTCTGGCCCACGAGGGCCGCGAGACGGGCCACAAGAGGGCCCCACGCGGCCTCCAAGACGGTCCAAGAGGGCCCCGAGACGCCCAAAGATCGGCCCAAGACGCCCAAGGTGGCCTCACAAAGGTCCAAGAAGCATCCAAGACGCTCCAAGAGGCCTCCAAGAGGCAAAAATAAATGATTGTCCGTAGGTGTGTGAAGGATGTTGGCGTTCTCCCCTTTTCGGCGTTTCGACGCTCCGAGACGGCCCAAGATGCCCCCAAGACAACCCCAAAGCGGCCCAAGCAGCCTCCAAGAGGACCCCAAGACGGCCTAAGAGCGCCCCAAGACAGCCCGAGATGCGCACAAGACGGCACCAGAGAGAGCCCCAAGCCGGCCCCAACAGGGGGCCAAGACAGGCAGCACGAACCAAAAACTCCGAGCATGCCGCCCAAAAAGTCCCCCAGAAGGCCCCAAGAGGCGCCTCGGAGGCCCCCAGAGACTCCCAAGAGGCCCCCAAGAGACGAGGCCCCCAAGAGGCCCCAAGAGGCACCGAAACGGCCCCCAAGAGGCTCAGCTGCCTCCAAGAGGCCCCCGAGAGGCCTCCCACATCCAATAGGCTTCACACCCACAGCCCAGGCACGGTGGCGGGATGGGCTGACGGCCCCTCGGGACATCCTCGACCTTGGGGATCCTAGCCCAAGACGCCTTATGATAAGAATGAGCGATTCGCCCAAGACGGCCTCAGGATGACGGCAGACGGTCCAAGAGGCCCCCCAAGAGGCCTCCAAGACGGCCCAAGAGGCCTCCAAGAGGTCCTCCAGGAAGGACCGAAGAGGCCAAAACCATTGATTGTCCTCAGATGTTTGAAGGATTTGGGCATTTGCTTTTTCTCAGCCTTCGGGCAGCCTGACACGGCCCAAGACCCCGCAAAGATCGCCACAAGATCGCCCAAGAGGCCTCCAAGATGGCCCCAGAACGGCCCAAGAGGCCCCCAAGACGGCTCTAAGAGGGCCCCAGGACGGCCCAAGAGAGCCCCAAGATGCCTAAGATGGCCTCCAAGACGGCCCCGGAGCAACCCCAGGAGGCCCCAACTCGGCCCAGAAAGGCCCTCAAAACCACGTCCGACGGCGTCAAACGGGCCAGGAATGCCCTGAGACTGCCAAAGAGGCCCCCGAGAAGCCCCCACAGGCCCCCAAGAGGCCCAAGGGGGCCCCCAAGATGCCTCCAAGAGGCTCCCAGAGGCTCCCAAGATGCCCCCTCATCCTCTTCCTTCTCCTCCTGATCTTCCCCGCCATCCTTCCCCAAATGTCCCTCGAAGGGTTTCCACAACGGTTGGGGGAACACATGGTCCGATAGCTTGGCAGAGCTCTTGCCACAACGCTCGGCCACATGGGCGATTCCAAAAGGCAGGGGGCGGCGGTGATTCGCCGTACGCGTCTTCGATATGATACGGATAGCCATCGGCATACACTCCTCTCGGTGCAGGATTTCTATATTCACGAGCGCCGCCATCACAAGCGCCATCGTTATCACCATTGACACCACCAGGAAGGAATGTCATTACTACAACCGCTGTCGTGAGCAACATCACCGTTGCCGCCCCTGCCGAGACCGTCGCACAAACTTTCCTTCACGACCACCACTTCAGTCGTCGCCACGAACATCAAAATGCTCGCCAACGCTATTAGTACGTATCACAGTCTTGCGCTCGGTGATGGCCCCAACCATGAGAATGTATTTTTTCTCTCGGGCGACCGAGCTGGTAAGATAGCGGCCAGGCGATGTAGTTAATTATAGACAAGAGCGTACGGCAAAGTCGTGTCGTGACGACCCCGGCGTTGGTTTCTGACACCACGTCGATCGTTCAACCCTGAACGATCGGCGGCTTTTCGATCGCCCGATCGTTCCATATATAAGCCGATTCTGGGCCACTAGCGGCGTTCAATCTTGAACGCCCGCGGCGGGGTCTCCGCTGGTCGACACGACGCGAACCTACCGTAGTCTTTTATGTACAGCTGGAAAAAAAAACATGCACTAGTTCCCACATCTGCGCAGCACTGGCTGTCTGTGTGCTGCGCGCAAATGGCGAACATCCCAAGGTTGCCTCACGCGCACACAATTTCATGCGAATGCGGTAGACAAGCTGGTTCACTTTGAACTTGTCTTGGTCAGGCGGGCAGGCAGCCTGTTCCTGCTCGGGGGGACCGCAGGCCGCTTGACAAACTTCGTTGCTATGGGCACGCCCACCCTGGCCTAGAACTCGCTCTCACAACCGCATGCCCGGATCCACGGGCAAAACGATGGGCGTCGGGCAGTTGTGGCTCTGCATTGACGCCTTCAGCTCTCCGAGCGGCAGGAAGCACCCAGCTTGCGTGTTCGGCAGTTGCACGGACATCTCAGGCTGAGACGACTCCACGTCAGGGCGCGAGTCCACCGAGACTGGCAGCACGTGCTCCACAGGCTGGAGCCACCCGCAGAAGGCCGAGGGAACGATGGCAGAGAGCGGCACGCACTGCTCCTTGCCATTCACCCGGTTCGTCCACACGTGCACGTGGCGAGCTGCCTGCGCGGCCTTCTCCAGGAAGCGCAGCGCTTCGTCCAGGTCTCCCTTGTCCATGGCCTCGGCGTACTCGCGCAGGCACGCCTGCGCCAGCGCGGACCGCTTGGGGGCCGGCCGGGAGCCGCTGCTGCTGCTGCTCGCGCATGAGCGAAGCTGGCTCCGAGAGCCCGCTTTCACGCCGCAGCGGCCAGCACTCGCACCTGGGACACACGCCACCAGGCCAGCCGCGCGAGCCAGCATTGCGACCCCTGCGGGATACCCCCTACACGTAGCTTGCGCCTTGACTTGAGCCAAAATGGCTGCGGACCCCAACCATGAGAACATTGATCGGCATCGCCACGACCGCCGTTCTCGTTGTCGCTGTGGTCGCCGTCGTCCTCGTTGTCGTCGTTCTCGCTGTCGTTACGTGCTCCGCGGCGACAGTTGCAGCCGCATTGGTTCGCTCCCGCAGTCTCCGCCAATCCACATATGTCGTACTTTCAGCACTGCGCATGCCGTAAATCAGCATGCTGGAACCCCGGGAGAGAGCCTGAATCTGAACACAGTGACGTCTCAGTATTGCTTCCGCCGCCGTCCCCCAAGCTTCTGCCAGCGGCCCCGTCGCCGTTTTGGTTCTGCGGGCTTCCTCCGAGGAAGATGCGCCAACCTCCCCATCCCTCGCAGGCGATGCCCTCTCTGGATCGCCACACGTCCCGAGAGTTCCCTTCTACTTCCCCTCCCTGCCTCGGCGACCTCGTCCGACTTCTCCCCCTGCTTCTCCTCCTCCTCCTCCTCCTCCTCCTCGCTCTCCCCCCTGAGCGCTGCCGCTCCCCCCGCTCCTCTCTCCGCGGACTGCTCCTCCTTACCCCCTGCGCCTCCTCCACGCACTCCTCGGGCGAACACGAGCAGAGGTGCGCGAAGAGGCAAACCGAGCAGCGCAAAAACCACGCACGTACGGCAGACCAGAGCGCGTGCGTCGTAGGACGCCGACCCGAACCTGCCTGTCTGCTCGACCTGGTGTAAATGATGAGCCGTTCACGGCAGCACCAACCACAGCATTTTGCTTCTACCGGTACTCCGCCACCGGGTTCATGGAAAGGCGCTCCTTTGCAAGTACGTCGACTACGGCACCGCCTGATCCCGAGGCTTTGCCTCCTCCCGGCCTCGTTCTGAGGCTGCGCCCCCCTTTTCCTCCCCCATCTCTGGCTAATTCAAGCTTCGCGCGGCCCGCTTAGCTTCGACCGGAAGAGGTGCGCTCTCGACCCGCGAATCGAAAAAAGTTTGCTCGACCTTGCCGACTGGCCGGACGACCAGATCGGCAGCGAGGTCTGCGCCATCGACCCCGCACTATCCCTGTCCATCTTTTCCGCGCCCTCGTCGTCGTCTTCTTTCTCTGGTCACCTCTTGTTCCTCCATCGCCTCTTCATCTTCACCATCCCCTTTCATCAGGCATGGCATAGATCAGCCTTCTCATCCTCCCCATGTCACCCTCCAGCCTCGTCTGCAACATCCCCTCTTTCTTCTTATTCATGTTTGCGTGGGTGTTCTTCTTCCCCTCCACCACCACCACTAACTCCTCCTCCTCCTCATCATCATCATCATCCTTCCCATCGTTCCATGCTCACCTCTCGCACACACACACACAAACACGCAACACACAACCACACACAACCACGTCCATCATGCCGCTGCTGCTGTTGTTATTCCTCCTGCTCCTTCTCCTCCTCCTCCTCCGCCTCCTCCTCCTTCTTATCCTGCTCCTTTCCGTTCCGTTTCCTCTTCGATTTCCTCCTCCTCCGCCTCCTCCTCCTCCTTTTCCTCCTCATCATCATAAACCAACGGCACAAGCAACAGCAA